TGACTAACCCGTATTTCCATGCAAGTCAAGCTTTGAAGGAACTCGGAGGAAAGACGGGGAAGAAGGTGGAGGTTGACAGACAACAACGAGCCAGACTTGACCGAGAAGAAATAGAACGAGATATACGGATAACTAAAGAACAGATCGACCAAGAAGCTGAAGCCATGCGAAGACTCCTAAGAGACTCCATGAAAAGGGACCAACAGAGACTTCGGGAACATCAAAGACGAAGATCTCATTCAGCCAGCCCTCACAGGGAATACAAGCATGTGTCTGGAACCCTCCTTTTAGAAGAAGCACCCCCAAGCGAACCACACTGGAGGAGAGGAGGCAATTTGAGAGAGATACCAGCACGCAAACTGAGTCCATATAAAGATGAAGAGGAACAACTGGAAGAAGATCCCTTACAATGCCCCATCCTGATCAAAGGACATCAAGGACAGTACGTGCCATGGGCAGGACAAGATCTGGAGGGACTGATAGCCCGCCTCCCTGACCTACATGAAGGGGCTGGCAAATGGATCAGACTGCTGGAAGAAGAGACAATGGGAAAGATACTAGCCATTGGAGATGTCAAGGCCCTACTGGCAAAGAGCGTTGGAAGTGCAAAGACTAATGAAATCCTTAAAGCCTCTGGACTTGGAGCTGCAGTCGATTCGATCAGGATGGATGCCACACCATTGGACAGGCACAGAGCTGCAATATGGCGGGCTCTTCGAGAACATTATCAAACTCAGATGGATCCGAAGATGCTAAAAGGGGAACCAATAGGAGATGAAGAAAATCCAGTCACCTATGTTCAAAGACAGTTAAGAAAGTGGAAGCAAGAGCTGGAGAGAGACCCTGAACGGGATCCAGTAATAACAGCACTGTTCAGATCCGCCATAATTGACGCCATGCCTCCCTCTGTAAAAGCCAAGCTGGAAGATGTGGTCGGGTTAGGCTCAAAGACATTAAAGGAGTTCAACGACCATGTGGCTCACGCAGTGGAACAGTACAGGAAGAATGAACTAAAGCTGAAGAATCAAGAAAGAGAGCTTCAAAGAAAATTGACTCAGCTACAACTGGATGAACTGCTTAACAAGAAGAAGAAAGTACAGGCTGCAGTAAAGGAAGTTGAAGATCAGTCTGCAGTGATGGCTGCTGTAAACATACCAAGTCAAGTGCCACATGTCATACAGCAAGCTCCAGCCAACATGGGTCAGAATGTGCCAGTCAACGCAGGAAGCCCACAACAACCAAGTGCACCCATTGTGATCTACCTTCCTGAACACCAAGACAACAGAAACAGAACAATGCCAGGAAGAGGAAGACAATACAACAACCAGTAGAGAATCCCAGACCAACAAGTCATATGCTGGGGATGCAACCAGCCTGGACACACCAAGAGATTCTGTCCAGTTAACCCATGGCCTCAAGGTGAATCGCAAGATCAGATGAATCAACCATGGCAACAGAGACCTCAGAATCAACCACACCAAGTATCAGGAGCCGTCAACCCATGGCGTGGTCCAGACCAAGGATACTAGGGATGCCCAGAAAATCCTACGGGGGGGGCCGCTGCCAATGTTATCATCCAATGCTGACCAAGAACCTATGCTGCGGGTTAAAATAGAGGACAAGATGATACCCATTATGCTTGATACAGGGGCAACTTACACATGTTTAAGTCCAAATTATGCCTCTCACCTCCCCAGGTCTGGAAAATACGTCAAGACAGTAGGATTTTCGGGACTGACGCAGCTAATCCAAATGACAGCCCCTGTCAGCATAAAAGTCAAAGACTCTGAAATGAAAATTCCTATCCTAGTGTCTGATCAAACGCCAGTCAATTTGTTGGGTAGGGATGCGATATGCAAACTAAAATTACAGATATGGTGCTCTCCTGAAGGGATATACATAGAAAATGCAGGTATAAAACAGATGACAGTTATGGGTAGAGCTGAGCAACAAGAACCACAGACAAACATATTCTGGATAGGGAATATAGATTGGGGAGTAGGGGATACACTTGAAAAATGGGGAAGATATATAAAAGAGCAACTTCAGAAACCAGTTCCCCCAGAAACTGAATTCCATTGTACAATGAGATATGATCCCCTTAGAGATCCAAAAATGGAAAAAGAGTGGTTAGAAGGAACTAAAGGACAGACTGTGTGTCTGACTTCAAATTACATAATTGTAGGACCAGAGGGAGCAGCGTTACAAATTGAACACTGTGAATTCACTAATAATTGGTTTAGAGTAGATGATTCAGTACCACATGTTACATTATTTATAAATGAGGGGAGTCAAGCACAAGATCTAGGCCCAATGATGTTAAAGGCAGAAGGAAGGCTTTGGGAAGCCACTGATAACCCTTTCATTTTTCAAACAAAAGATATGACACATCTTAAAATCATCTGCACAACCAAAATGGTAGGGATTCCAAAATTGATAGTTGAGACAGTAGAGAAAAGCGAAGTCTAGAATGGATGAGCTTATCTCAGCAATGGAACAACAAGTGCCTGCACAGTTATGGTCAAAACATGACACAGATGTAGGCCTAGTTAGATCAGAACCCCATTAGAATTGTAGTTAAACCAGGAGTTAAATTATCAAGAAAGCAACAATACCCATTGAAACGTGAAGCAGTGGAAGGGATAAAGAAAACAATTGATGGATTGGTTAAGGCAGGAGTACTGATTGAGACAATCAGTTATTGTAATACCCCAATTTTACCAGTTAAAAAAGCCAACAAGTCAAAGTGGAGGTTAGTGCACGACGCTATTGACGAATGTTCCACCTGCTGCTAATTATTTCACTGTGATTGATCTCTGTTCTGCATTTTTCAGCGTTCCATTAGCGGAAGAAAGCAGACACCTTTTTTCCTTCACTTACCAAGGTAAACAGTATACATACATTAGAATGCCTCAAGGATTTAAACACTATTTACACTCATCATAAGACTGCTGAATTATTAGAACAAGGACGATTTGTTTTGACACAGGCCAGATGCTTAGCATATTCTACATTGACAACTTATCCTGATATCACGATAAAGCGATGTACCACAACAAATCCAGCTAATTTTATAGGGGGAAGGAACACCTCATGAGTGTATTTCTGTCTCTCTAGCTTTTACTTATCTGAGACCAGGTTTGGAATCAACACCAATTGTTGATGCAGACGTAGATTATTTTGTTGATGGCTCATGTTTTAGAGACCACTTAGGTAACCATGCTGGTTTTGCTGTTGTACAAAAAGATGGAGACAATTTTACTCCTGTATTAAGTCAACATTGTGAGCAACCTTGCTCAGCACAATTGGCTGAACTTAAATCACTTACTGAAGCTTGCATATTGGCTAAAAACAAAGCAGCCAACATTTATACTGACTCTGCATATGCCCATGGCGTATGTCATTTATTCGGTGCAGTATGGAAGCAAAGAGGATTTAAAAAGTGTGATGAAACCCCAATTCAACATGGAGACCAAATTACTAAATTGATTACAGCTATGATGTTTCCTAAAAAATGGGCCATAATTAAATGCCAGGCCCATAAGAAAGGTAATGACTTTGTCATCAAAGGCAACAATGTGGCTGATATGCATGGAAAACAAGCCTCTGGATGCCAATTAGCTGTAATGGCACCCTAAGTCCTGATCCAGCCTCTCCCCACCGTAGAAAGTATTGCCCAAATGGAGTCCATAGCAACACCACCTGAGATATACCTATGGCAGCAAAGGGGGGTGACAAGAGATTCAGACAATATATGAAGATCACATGAAGGCCACATGATAGCCCCCACCCCATCGCTTAACATTTTAATTCCGGATTCCCACAGTTTTGATCACTGTGGAAGGGGGGAAATGATAAGGAAGATAAAAAGGCAAGGATTTTGGTCCCCATACTTACAAACAAGGGTAGATTAATTTTTTTAATGAATGTGAAATTTGTGCAAAAAATAATGTCAGAAAAGGAACAGCAACCCCAATAGGCTCTATTCCAGTTCCAGAAGGATCTTTTAAGCATCTAGTAATGAATTGTGTAGACATGACCGAATTAGTAAGAGGAAGAAGATACATGTTGGTTATTATAGACAGGTTACAGCCAAGATGGATACCATATGAGTTTAAAGCTAGAGACGAGGCAGCAGCAGGATTTGAATCAATATTTGTATGGATAAGGCCAAATAAGAATGGGGAATGGATTAATTACATATATTACAATCAGCAGAGATTCATCAACTACATAGATCAAGCACTTGATGTCTTAGGTCACCAACTAAAATACACTAGCAGAATGACATGGCAAAACAGACAAGCCCTGAATTGGTTATTGGCAGAAAAAGGAGTATGTGTAATGTTTGGATCTGATTATTGTACCTTCATCCCCAATAACACAGCCACGGATGGATCTTTTACTAAAGCCATGAAGAAAATAAAGGAATTAAGACAGGAAGTTGCTACCAATGCGAGGAGAGACAGGAGCTTGGGATACTGGTTTGATTCCATATTTGGATCATGGAAAGAATGGCTTATTAAGGTGGGAATAATAATAGCAGTGACTATTGGTGTTGTTTTTGTGTTGTTCTGCTGTATTGTGCCTTTTCTCAGATCCATGCTGGCTAGTGCAGCTGCAAAACAAATGATCAATGTGTCAGTGAAACCATCAGGCATTGACATTGGATGTACCAACTCAGGAGTATATCCAATTGGCCCAGGCTTGGACGAACTGGATGACTTCCTGTGAAAGGTTGGGTGAAGAAGCAAGGAATAAGGGTACCTTAATTACTTTTGATTTTGATAATCTTTTTACTCTGTTTTTGACAAGATAGGGAGATAGCCCCACTGTGTATTTTGATTTGGGGATAAAATTAGTTAGAACAATTAGAGCATGGGTAGAGTAGGAAGTTAGTTAGAGGGGTTTTTCTACATTCCTTTGGTTTTATATAAGGGCCCTTATTTCCTGAATATATTTACTCATATAACCAATATAATCTTTTTGCATGTTTTACTTATATAATCATACGGAAGAAATTTTATATATAATCACACTAACTGTCACTTTTATAATGTGTGTATGAGAGGGGACGATAGAAGGTTTAAAGCAGGTCATTGCCCGTGGTACGAGGTAATGCAACAAGAAATAATGGGAAAAAGATAAGAATGTTTTTTATTACTATTAATCACTTTATTCACTTACTAAACTTTTATATTTTTTGAATACCTTATATATTCCTGTAACAAGTCAAGAAATTTGGAACTTACATGCATTAGACCATTGGAACATGTATATAGTTATAAGTGCAAAAGAGGAATTATTTGCAAGCGCGGTCATCGTCTGTTGAAGAAACAAGAGCTGACTCAACTGGTGGTTTAAAAACCCGCTGTCTGCTCCAACACCAGATAGCGCTCTAGGCAAGGCCTGGGCACCTCTGGCAACGATGGAGCAACCCAGATAGCACTCCAGGCCACCGGAAGCGCCTGCGCAGTTCCTCTGGCAACGTGGGACAGCTGCTGGAATTCAAGTTCATACACTGTGATTGTGTTATTGAATGTTTGATAACCTGAAGTAATGCATCCCCTTAAACTGATGATGTGACAGGAAGGTGAGATCTTTTACTCCACTCTAGCCAATTGGGGGTGGAGATGTTTGGTCTTACTCTTCCTCCAGAGTGTGCCCTTATGATGAAGGTCTATTGATAAAGTTGGATGGTCCAGGTTGGCCATGTTTGAAAGGTAATGCAGAGAGAGATCTATTCATGAGGACACACCCTGGGTAAGAACGGTTTGAAGGTGGGACTAGAAAAAGTCCCAAAGGGGGGATGTGTTGGGGAATTTCATTTGTCTCATATATGTCTCATAAATGGCTCTGAATATAAGATGCTGTAATGCTAGAGAAAACCAGGTCTAAATGCTGTAATATTGGAGAAAACCAGGCCTAAGGATATGAAATGAACAGAAAACTAGGCCTGAGGGGAGGTTGAATAAGGACAGGAGAAGAAACTGGGTGAAAGGACATGAAAAAGGCAGGTTGGTTAAGGACAGGAGAAGAAACTGGGTGAAAGGGCATGGAAAAGTACCTGAAAATCATGTATGAAGCCATTTTTAAAAAGGTACGCATGCGCAAAGAAAGATACGCATGCGCAAAGAAGGTTGCCCCAATTAAAAATGAAATAACGATGCAGGTGTTTCTAATCGTGGCGACAGGCCAAGGAGGAGCAAGAAGAAAAAAGATAACTGTATGAGCGCTAATTGGACAACTAACGATAAGAGAAAGGTATAAGATCTGAGTATTGACCATTGTAAGATTCAGATGACTAGCTACCATCTCACTTTGTTGAACTGCTCAATAAAGTTATTCTTCTGAGACCTGAAACTTCGACTCTGAAAGATTTCTTCTGAGACCTGAACCAGACTTTGAAGAATTGAACCAAAGATCGAGAATTTGCCACAACACATGTCACACCAATGAGGGCATCCAATTTTGACTATGAGGTGTCTCAGCTAGGGCTCGACAAAAAAGGTTTTATTTTCACTCATTAGGAGAGAAAATAAACTCTGTATAGTTCTAGTATCCCATTTGACCTTATGTCCCAATCACCCTCAATTCACTCCTATATAAATAACACTAAAATAACAGCGATCACAAAACAAATCCAGTCAAAAGGAAATAATTCCACAAATGTCACAATCAGGAAGTTACATTTATGTTTGGTAACACTTTACTACAAGGTTTCATTTGTTAACATTAGTTAACTACATTAGTTACCATGAACTAACAATGAACAATAATTATAATGCATTTATTAATCTCCAGATCTGTAACAAACTATCAATGAACAGTTATACTTTTAATAACTAATGTTAGAAAAGATGAATAAATACTGTAACAAATGAAGTGCTTATTGTTAAGTAATTTGCAAATGCATTAACTAATAGAACCTTATTGTAAAGTGTCTCCATGTTTGACTTTATCATTCCTCCCATCTAGACCTATGTTCTCTCTCTTATTCGGTTTATATCTGTTCTCACCCCTTTTTGTCCATGGCCTCCACATCCTCGACCCGCATGCCAAAGATGAACAGGTTTTCCTCTCCAGCTTCTTCTGCCATCTCCACGTTGGCGCCGTCCATGGTGCCGATGGTCAGAGCGCCGTTAAGCATGAACTTCATGTTTCCCGTCCCGGAGGCTTCAGTGCCTGCCGTGGAAATCTGCTCGGACAGGTCGGCAGCAGGGATCACTGAAGAGCAAAGCACATGACAAATTCAAATTCCATTATAACCCATGACATCCAATAAATAAAATAACTATGATGCAACTATAGCAAAATTAATTAGATTATCTTGACAAATATCTAATAAATCTGATATTTGTATGGCTATCCATCAACAGCTGTTAATGCGTTTACTCACCCTTCTCAGCTAATGAGACTCTATAGTTCTCCAGGAAAATGACCTTCAGTCTGTCTCCCACCACAGGATCATGGTTGACCACCTCCCCCACTGAGGTGATCAGTTTAATGATAATCTTTGCCATGTGGTAGCCTGGAGCCGCCTGCAGGAGGCAGTGCAGGATCAGAGATAAAAGCACTGGACTCTTTTGAACAGTGGTTCACTTCTCAACCTTTTGGACTTTGAAGGCCCCCAGAGTCCAACACAATTTTCCAGCTGCTCGTTTTCAAACTTTTTAACAGAAACTGGGAGTGTCAATATATTTAGCTATTTATTTGACTGATTCCAGAAGTTTCATAAACAGTATGTTCTTTAATAAATCAATAGTTGTTGAGGGCTGGGGAGACAAAAATAAATATTAAGTTTACACCTTGGTTTTATGTAGGTTTTTTTCAGCATTTCAGCGAAGTTTTAATTAAGTTTGCTGAGAACTCCTAATTGAGAACTACTGCTTTAAATCATGTCAATCTAAAGTACACAAAAATCCCAAAATGACAGTTATCACATACTATAGTGATCACTAATATTATTCAGAATCCCTTAAATTATATATACTTAATGTTTATATATATATATATATATATATATATTAATTCACTTACCTTTCCTCCAATCATTACAGTCCTGGGAACAAACTTCTTGTTTGGTTCTTTCTTGATCCCTAGAAAAGTGCAGAATAAAATAATTTATAAAATCAGATTCACTCATTAAATCATTCATTAATTCAAGCCATTTTAAAAAAGGAATCTATGAAATAATTATTATAAAACAAAACAAAAAAGTGCAATGTTTTCTTTGGTCAGTTCGTCAGTGCTCAGATAGGTGGCAGTGTTCAAGCACTGATCTTCTATCTTGAATACATCGCTGTGTTTTTCTTTGTGTATTTTCGTACTGTTGTATAAAGTGATGACATGAAGGCAGTTGAGCAGTTGTCTCTTGTACTCATGGATTCTTTTGACATGGATGTCAAAGATGGACTCAGGGTTTATCTTTACTTTGTACTCATTCTCCAGATAAGCTGCAAACTTCTGCTTATTCTCCTAAAAATTACAACAATAAAAAAAAACGTTAAACATGATGCCAAAATTCGAAAAAGACTCCAGTACATTATAATGATCAAAATCAAAGAATGTATGTCTTTATTTATTTTTAAAAAACTCATTTAAATGTAGACCTGCTTCACTTTAGCCACATCCCGAATGAACATTTCATCATTGATGAAGTCCAAAAGTTTTTTTAGTTGGAACAGATCCGTCAGGAAGTCCTCACCAATTTTCTGAAAGGGAAAGATAGTGAGGGACAGAAAAAAAAACTGTGGGGGTAGAGCAAGCAAGAGTTGGATAAAATAAAATAACAACATTTTAAATAAAACACTACACAACTTTACACCAACTGCATGAATAATAAGTTAAGGCGGCCACCTCAGCGATGATGTCAGCCAGGCCAGGGTTGCAGAGCAGCAGCCAGCGACGAGGTGTGATGCCGTTTGTCTTGTTCTGAAACTTCTCCGGCTCAACATCAAAAAAGTCCTTAAATCTTAAACCAGTTTAAAAAATAAATTAGTTCTAAATGTAACCATCAAAAAAAACTTAATGTCAATGTACAATTGACCTAAATAGCATTAAAATAAAAATGCTCCCATGGCTCCCTGGAAATAATTCATTCGCTGTCAAATATTTTTGTATATACTTATACACTCCACTCACACAGTGCTTTTGACAATGTCTGAGTGAATCCGTGCAACTCCGTTGACGGCGTGTGACCCGACCACACAAAGGTGAGCCATGTTGATCCTCTTTGGATCGCCCTCCTCGATCAGAGACATCCTGCGCAAGCGATCATGGTCGCCTGGATACAGCGCAGCAATTCTCTACAACAGAGAGTCCATCAGACCAACCAGAAATAACTATAATGACCTTGAGTTAGCGTATGTGTGTATCCTCACATCCAGATGGCGACGGTTGATCTCATAGACGATCTGCAGGTGTCGTGGCAGAAGCTTCTCAAACATGTAGACAGGCCAGCGCTCCAGAGCCTCGGGTAACACCGTGTGGTTTGTGTACGCACACGTCTTTGTGGTAACCTCCCATGCCTACATACACACACATGCACACTTTAATGCGGATTTTGGAAAGTTCTATTATAAATAAAATAACAAAATGAATAAAATAATAAAATAACTTCCAAGAAAATTGTACTTAAAAAAAGTTGTCTGGCTGAATGAACAATACTTTTCATTGTATTAGCAATACTTTATCTATTACTCATGTCAACATGACAAGGCAGAAAAATATAAACGCAGAACAACAAAACAGCTTTCAAGGAATTATCTTAAAACACAGTTTGACAGCCTGAACACCACACCTTTTCCCAGTCCAGCTGCTCTATATCCACCAGGATTCTCATGAGTTCAGGAATCGCCAGAGCTGGATGAGTATCATTCAGTTGAATCGCCACCTGAGAGAGTGGTTTTGAAACCGTTATTCTTTGTGAGAGCAAAAACCTTTGCTGTTTTTACATTTGTGACTGAAAATTCAGTCAATTAATGCATTTCATCATGTCAAATAACCTTTTCAGGGAAAGCCTCAAAAGAGGTGCGCACGGGATCCCTGCAGCCAAACTTTGACGATTTAAAGCGTCTGATGATGTCCTGCAGAGTAGCAGCCACCACAAAGTACTCCTGCTTTAAACGGAGCTCCTTCCCTTCGAAAAACTAACACATGCACATACAAAGAAATACATTCATATTAAATACAGACACACTGAAAGCTTTACAAACAGCAAAACATTCCATTTACTGTCAGTTTTTTCGGACAGAATAACCAAGCATTGTGTTTTCTTAGTTTAGTAGTTGTGTGAATAAAAACAATATACACTACTGTATCATGACACATAGAGCCACTGTTGCTCAGAACATATTAGTCTTCCATTTTCATACTTCCTCAATGTATTACACGTCAGTGGCACTGTTGCATAAGATTAGAGTTTTCTCTGCTGAAATCTGCTCATGTCAGTCAGCTAAAGCTTATTTTACATACCAGCATTGACAGAGTCTAAATTTACACACATGATTGTCAATGTTTGTTATTATAGTAACTTAACGCACATCATGTTCAAATTTCTGCTCTCTGTTCTCTCTCTCTCTGTGTGTACATTCTGTCCATCAGACCATCAGACATCCTCAGCAAGAGTTTTATAGCATTGAAAAGTGAGTGTACGTACATTGTCATTGGGGTAGAGCACCCGGGAGATGTTCTCTGCTAGGTTTCGATCCAATACAGCCTGGATGTAATCTCCCACATTGACTACAATTAAGAGAGAGTATTTCAAAATTACATGCTAAAATGCCTGTTTTGTCGAGTATTCCTCGCTAGCAGTCTTAAATGAGTTAAATGAAGTCTTAAATTAACGTAAAGAGTTGTGATAAAATGGGATGCACGTCATATACTGTATGGCATGTCTTAAAAGTGACAGCAGCCTAATAAACCCGCTGCTGTCTGTCATTAAGAGAATCACTCGCTGCTCTTGGCCGAATAACTTTTGTAGCTTTAATAAGGATTAATCGATATTTAATTTATAATTTACGCAGTGAAGGTTGTGAAGTATTTGATAACTTTATTAAATTTGTATATATCCTACCTGTTAGTGCTTTAAGATTTTCAGGTAGGTCTGTTTACAAGGTTACACATGGGTCAAAAACAACAGCAAGGCAAGTAAAAATCTAAACTGATCTGACTGGGCCAAAAAAACGGAGCCCTAATATATATATATATATAGGACAGGTAAATGTGACATTTATTATAATGGGTTAATGTGAAGATTGTTTTAAGTTCACTTAAATTAAAATATTTTTTAAAGCCTAATACATGCTCAAATGTATAGCTTTTAATTATACTGTAATTCTGAATGGCTATAATTAATGGTT